GGACACACTTCCATGATTTGCCAGGCTATGTAAAAGTTGGTGGCTTTATTCTTTCTGCTGTGTAAGCAGATCCAGGCCCTAGAAATATGGGACCAGATTATATAATCGTTGTTGAAAAGTGTGCTACAAAATGGCTGGCCTGTTATAAGCCAGGTTACAAAGTAAGGATAGGGGTAAGGGAGGGACATTTTCTTCCAGAAAAAAAACAGAATTTCTGAAGCGTCCCAGTCCATAATTTCTTCCCAAAATGGTGGAGGAAGGGATAAAATCTCAACATGAGTTTCGAAGTACTGTCTCTGTTGAGGGGCTGGTAGTTGCCTTGCTGAGGAGGAGGATGACTAAATTTGGCCATCCCCACCCTCCCCAGCTAGGGGAATGGACATGTTACATTTATTGCCCAGTGGGTATGAAAGTGGGCTGAAGCTTGGTTGGTACTGAATTCTCTAAGAGGTTTCTTCTAGAAACAAACAACTCAGACTCTTCCTCTCACTTCAGCAAAGAAGTTATTTTTAAAAGCACTTGGGAAGCTCCTCCTCCACCCTTCGGGTGGGAAGGCTCAGAGAAGGGAGTCATCAGTACAGCCACCTTTCAGGCCATAATGGAATTCCTGAAGGTTGGAGACCCAGTAGAAGTGGACAAAGGCTGCTGCCAACACCAGGACGTGGAAAATCAGATGAGACTGGAACCATATGTCAAATTTTCCAGGAAAGAAGCACTCAGGGATTCGAGCAGCGCAAAGGCCAGCTCCAGTGATGTACATCATAGCCATAAGGAAGAACCAGCCCATCTGGCCCACAGTGGTGGCCTTGACGAAGCCCTCTGTGATGGTAAAGTGCATGGCGGGCACCACACCACTCAGGCCAAGTCCCAGGAACACTCCTGCTCTCGTCTGCTGGTGCTTAGGAGTGGCAAACCGGTCCCACTGTGCCACAGTGATGGTAGAAATGCCCAGGACACAAATGATGGAGAGGTAGATGAGCCGTGGCTGTAGGGAGCAGTAGAAGGAGTAATAGAGCCAAGGGACAAAGCTCCCCACAATCAGTAGAGCGATCCCTGAATAGTTCAGTTTGGAAAAAGTCCGAGAGACTTTCTCTGAATGACAATAGACAGTGTGGAAGAGCCAAGAGAAGCTGAGGCAGAGCACTGCACCCAAAAAGAACATCCCTCAAACCACCTCCTGTAGAGGGGCCATGAAGTACATATTTGGTCTAAGCATGGTCAAGATTCCCAAAAACAGAAACAGCACAAAACCAAACAGATGGGTCCAGATGTTGCCAGTTTCTGTGTGGATGCAGAAGATGCTCTTGAAGCAAGCCCGAAAGGAGGGCATGGGCGGCCTGTGGCCATGTAGCAGGTAGTCATTGTCCTTCAGCCAGTCAAGGAGCACATTGTACAGGATGACCCTCCAGTGTCCCTCCCATACCTTATACACAAACTCCTCCATCTTCTCCATGGCGTGGTGGGCTTGCAGGGGAAGCGTCAGCACCTGCACCTCCTCCTCCTCTTCCTGGGGCACTGGGCATGTTTGCTCTTCTTCAGCTTTGGTCGGATTGGCGATCACTCGTTTGCCCTTCTCTTCTAGCAGGGGTCCCAGTTCAGCCAGTTCCACTGCTGTATCCGTTCCCTTGTTGCTGACAGGAGCCCCATTGCCCTGTGCCACCACAGATCCTTTGTGAGAAGACATCTGGCTGGTACCTCAAGGCCCTGCAGCTTCAGCTTGGGGAAAAGTTGGGGTCTCTCAGCCCCAGGGGGCAGAGATCTCCCTGTAATGGTAGACATGCCTGGAGGGCAGGCTCTGCTGGGGGCCGCAGTCCCCCACGCTACATCCTGCGGCGCTGGAGGTGGCCTGTGGCCCAGCGGCCCTGGATCTTCAGCACTCTCCCTGCGCCGGAAGGGGTGTGTGAATGAAATTTACAATGAAATTTAATAACTGCATACAGATAAGGTTAAATTTAATCATTATGCAATAGGAGCACCATATCTACAAAAAATGTAGACATTCCAGCCTACTATATTCAGAGAACACACCATTGCACTTAATTTGATAACCTACGAAAATCCATGGAATAATCTATACCAGCTGAAGACTTGGAAAAGCAGAAACATCATACGTGTCTTGAAAACTTACTCCTATTTCAATTAGTTAAAGTGTCGCACATGATTCCCAGATATCCCACAATACCAAAATGCAAATATCTCCTGCCCATCCACACATGAGAACAAGTACTAACACAGCACAACTAGAAAATCATGAGACCCCATAATAGATCCCATACTCTCTAATAACCTCACAGCAGAATCCTACACTTCAAGAGCTAAAATTAAGAATTCACAATAAATTTCACATACTGTAAACATCTGCACATAGAAAGTTCCTTCAAGTGTTCAGAACACTTGCAAATCCAAAGAACGTATTTCACATATGTGGCCTCACCCTGGAATGCAGCCACAATTAACCAATGGCTCCAGGTGTAGATAGTGAAACTGGACCTCTTCATTTCTACCTTTCTTCCTCCAGTAGTGACTTTGTGTGTGTCTGATTACACATGTATTGATTCTGGGCCAAAGCCAGGGACCTTGTGCCCTGCTTGTTCCCCCTCTTGCTCCCTCTGGCCCTCTCACCAACACAAGGGCCTTTGCTAGTTTTCAGGGACACCTGGTGTCTTTCTTCCTTGTCTGAATTGGGCAGCAAGTCATTGTCCTTTTTCATGTCAGTCTTGCATTTTGGTGGAGGATTCACAACTGCATTGAAAGGCATGGTGGATTCTGTTTTTCTGTAGTTCACTTCAGGCTTCTGCCAGTTTTGTTCTTCATGGCACTTCTGCTGATCTAAGGAGAGTTCTCTAGTTGCTGTTTTTTCGAAGTGTTCCTTGAACTCAGGAACCTTGATGCGGGAGTCACTTTTGAGCTCCCCTTGGGTTGCTCCCATGTCTGTTTCTTTAGCCCCATGGGCTCTTGGTTTCTTCCCTTTGAGGCACGCCCACTGTGTCTCTCTAATTCACTCTTCTGGATATAAAAGAGGATGTAGGCATGTTGACTGAGGACAGAAGAAATGTGACAGCCGGTTACCTTAGCATCATCCATTTTGTACCACTGGCCATTCCTAGCTTTTACAAAGCAGAAGTAATGTCCACTTTGACAGCTGCTCCCAGCATGGACCAGCACAGCATACAGGAGGTAAACAAGGGGTCCTCTCTTCTGCTGAGACATGTATGGTTGCATGTCAAGGCACTCGGGATATTGCACTTCTTTTGCAATTTTGTTGCCTGTGACATCTGAGAACCTTTTCAACACAAGCATCAGGACCTTGGAGGCAGTGTGCACAGTCAGAGACTTGGACGCAGGGACCTTCTTTAGACAAGTACCACAGTGATAGGCATCCTCTCCGTCCAGGTGCTCGGGCTTCACCAACCATTGCAAAGCTTGGTTGAGGCTCTGAGCTGCCTCGATATCCAAGGCGATGTCCAGGTAAGGTTCAAAGGTGTCTGAAATGCCATGGCAGTGCAGACACTTGATTTGAGACCTCCAGTAGCCTCCAAATATTTGACGGATTAGGGTTGTGTCCTCAGAGTGACCGTCTAAGGGCTCGTACCCAGACAGCTTTCTTCATGGCATCCACAGTGCACATGAGAAACTCATGGGCATCTTCCTGGTTGTATCTGTGGAAGCCAGCAGCCAGTGCCAGTGAGGGCTTGATCACCTGGCCAGGCTGGGTTAGCACCCGGGTGACATGAGCTTCCATAGTGCACAGCATGCAGCATTCCTGACGACGACAGCTTAGAGAATGCTCCTGGGACAGCACATAGTTGGCGAGGGGTGGTGTGTACGTCAGGCACTGCAGTGCAGCATTCATGTAGCACGTGTTTCCTACATTGCAGAGCCCAGCACCAACCCCATAAGGTCTCTTCCAGGTCAGCAGCAGTTTGTCCCTGGGAGCCAATGGCTTTGTCCCAGGAGCCTGTTTCAAATAGAGGTTGGGATCTCTCTTAGATAACAGTGAAGAATTCTCAGGTCGGTAACGACTGGGCTGATCTTTACCATCAGCTAAATTTGGCTGAGAAGTTTTGAGTTTTGTAAAGGCATTGAAATGAGGCTTACCTCCCTGGAGGAGTGAAAAAGTTTTCATGTTTCCAGGAGCAATGATCACAAAGCTTCCCTGCTGGGATCATAAGTTGAAGAAGGATGACATTTTCCCTTCTGAGACCGCCTTCATATGGCAGGTTCATCTCCACAGCAGACTTTTTATGGCTAATCCGACTCACCACACCCACTTCGGAGGCACAACATGGAACAATCATGTCCAAGCACTTAAGTGGATTAGGAAGCCTCAGGGTGTGTTCTCTGGTATTCCCCAGATAATCCAATCAGCACCATCCCCATTACTATTTGTACAACTGGGAAAGATTGAACTATCAAGATCATGCATAAATATCCCGAAAGTAGAATGGGGGTGGGTTGGGGGGCATATATTTGTTTTAGCTCCTTGAAAACAATAATGGAGGAGTATTAGATTAAAAAGTTGGACTCAAACTTCCTGATTTTAGTTCTTCCTACAAAGCTGCAGTTACTAAGACAGAATGGCACTGGTGTGAGATCAGACATAGAGACTAGTAAAATAGAACAGATGGCCCAGAAATAGCCCTCCTTCTATGGTCAATGGACATGAATGATTGGCGCAAAGGTATCAACAGCTTTCAGTGTGGAAAAGATAGTGTTTTCACAAAAGGCTGCTCTGAAACTTTGATATCCACAAAAAAAAGTAAATTTCCCCACTCAGTCCTCCAGTCACAGAAAGATGCTTCCCCTTTTCAGACTTCAAACTGCAGTTTAGTCATCTTGTCAGCCCTTTCATGGCTCATGCCTCCCGCCAGGGCCAGCACGCCCACTCACTACATAAAAGGTCAACAATTAGATCTCTTCCATTTATTGCCTCAGGGGTTTCACAGTGGGGTCTCTGGTATTCTGGTGGGAATCCCATGGGACTTATGGACATTACTATTTATTGAACACCTGAAGCAGATTTAGATATCCATATTGTCCATCAATACCCTGAGAGTACCACTGAGTTGGGCCGATGGGTATCCCTCTGTCTGGCTTCTTCCAAAAGAAAGAGAAGGAATAACATGGGAAGAAGTGACGTGTCTATGCCTCTCTGTGTGTGTGTGGTTTCTTTTTTGTTTGTTTGTCTCTTTGTTTTTTTATTTTGGCATATTATGGGGGTGCAAATTTTAAGGTTTCAATAAATGCCAATTTCCCCCCTCCCCCCACAAGTCTGAGTTTCCAGCATGACCATCCCTCAGATGGTGCACATGTCACTAGTTATGTATGTATATACCCACCCCCTTCTCCCCTCCCTCCTCCCCAATACCCTATTACTGTAGTACCTATGTGTCCACTTAGGTGCTACTCAGTTAATACCAGCTTCCTGGTGAATATATCTGGTGCTTGTTTTTCCATTCTTGGGATACTTCATTTAGTAGTATGGGTTCCAGCTCTAACCAGGAAAATATAAGATGTGCTATATCACCATTGTTTCTTAGAGCTGAATAGTACTCCATGGTATACATATACCACATTTTATTAATCCATTCTTGGATTGATGGGCACTTGGGCTGTTTCCACAGCCTTGCAATTATGAATTGTGCTGCTGTAAACATTCGAGTGCAGGTGTCTTTTTTGTAGAGTGTCATTGGATCATTTGGGTAGATGCCCAGCAATGGGATTGCTGGATCAAATGGTAGATTCACTTGTATCACCTTAAGGTATTTCCATATTGCTTTCCACAGAGGTTCAACTAGTTTGCAGTCCCACCAGCAGTGTAGAAGTGTTCCTCTCTCTCCACATCCATGCCAGCATTTGTTATTTGGAGACTTTTTGATAAGGGCCATTCTCACCGGAGTTAAGTGATATCTCATTGTAGTTTTTTTCTCTCTTTTTTTTGTTTTTCTTTTTGTTTCTTTGCTTTCTTTTTCTTGTTTCATTGTAGTTTTGATTTGCATTTCCCTGATGATTAGAGATGATGAGCATTTTTTCATATGTTTGTTGGCCATTCTTCTGTCTTCTTTAGAAAATTTTCTGTTCAAGTCCTTTGCCCACTTTTTAATAGGGTTATTGATTTTTTCTTACTTATTTCATGATTCTAGGTATATTCTATTATCACCCATTTATCGATATGGAGGATGCAAATAAATTTACTCCCATTCTGTAGGTTTCTGTTTACTTCATGACTATTCTTGGCTGTGAAGAAGCTTTTAGTTTGATCATGTCCAATTTATTTATTTTTGTTGCTTTGATCCTTTGGGGACTTTCTTCATATTTGCCAGGCGATGCTAGGAGATGTTCCAACATTGCCTCTAGAATATAATAGTTTCATACCTTAGTTTAATCTGTTATCCAGCGAGTGATTTTTGTGAAGGTAAAAGGTGTGTCCCTCGTTATACTTCTACAAGTGCTATCCAGTTTTCAGCACCATTTATTGAAGGGATTCTTTTCCCTAGCGTATGTTTGTCTGCTTTTCAAAGATAGATGGCTATACGAGGATGTTTATATCAGGATCAGATCTTTCCACTGGCAATATCCTATTTTTGTGCCAATACCAGAATTGACTTAATTAACTACAGCTTTGTTGTATAGTTTGATATCTGGCATATTAATACCTCCCGATTTTCTTTTTGTGCCTAGAAT